AAGCAGTTTTGTACAGCTTCCCCCTCCCCTCCCCCCTTCCCCCTCTCAAAATAATGACGTATTTGTGCCGCGTACAGAGCCAATTTACCATGAAATTTAGCCTAACCTAGTTTGTGACAGAATTCTCAGAAACAGGAAAGTCGAGCAAAGGTAAGGTATTCTTTGATTTTCTTCGTCTCTCGCAAGTTACTAGCCTTAAAAGTATAGTTCTGAATGCGTGGTTCACGTTGGCAAAGCGTTCAGCCTGGCGAGTTAGCTTTCGTTTTCATCCTCGCGGCGATACATCATGAATCGGAGCCACTTCGCTTTAAAATTTAGGGATTTCATTGTTTTAAAATCAAACAGGGAGAGAGTTATTGTAGATTATCATGGTTAATTGTATTCAGAAGATCATGTTTTTTTAAAATTTTCTGTCTTATATGAAATAACTAATTTACGGCCTAAAAATAAAGCGCCAAACGCCGCAAAATTAACTCGCTATTTGAGGGTTTTAGAACGCTCGGAACCACAGAAAAACCATCCAAATAATGAGCGGAGTTATCAAGTTTGGTCGATTGATATTTGGTTCCAAAATTGATTTTTTGAGAGGTAATTGATATTCGCCATAAGAATAAGGACAATTCAAACCAGGGATCCCAATTTGTGGCAATAAGAGTTTTTATTTTCTGTGCGATGTAAAGACCGTGAACTCGTATTAAAATAGCATGTTCGTCGTGGCACGCGAATACTGACAGTAAATGCATTATAAACGTGATTGCACCATACAATTTAAGCGAAATATTCATACTTGCACTATGTTCGCTGTAGTATTTTTCCATCTAACATATTAATTACTGATCTGTTAATGTGTTACCGTTCATGATAACGACGTGGATGGAGCATTGCGTGACTTTGAATTGAGGTGAGCGTGCTATTTTGAGTATTTCACCGGTCGTGTTATTTACATTTTCGTGAAGCGTGTTTAATAGTTGTCAACTGTGCGTCGGACAAACCCTCCCTACTCCCGTTGACCGCTCAGAAGGTTTCTTGGCACCTTAACTGAATAGAAGTTACGTTTAGTAATATATATATTTAGGCACTGTCTAAAAGCGGAGCTCCCGATACGGAAGTCACAGGGGAGAACAATTTGAATGAAACTGAAAGGTAAAAATAAGATCGGGGAAAAAATCTTCAATTATTTTTTATTCGAGAT